GGGGGGGGGGGGGGGGGGGGGGGGGGGGGGGGGGGGGGGGGGGGGGGGGGGGGGGGGGGGGGGGGGGGGGGGGGGGGGGGGGGGGGGGGGGGGGGGGGGGGGTGCATGCAAACAAGGCAGTAAGATTTGAGGTTAATAGCTCCAAGCAGACTATCTGATATAAATTCTAAAAAAAATAGTTGAAGGCATAAGGTATAGAAGGATCAAATATTATAGGAAAATCAATAAAAGTGGACTATCTTCACAATAAATTTATGAAATTTTCGGACCAAGCCCACAAAATTGTTCAACGTTCATGATAACAAACACAATTAATATTATATCAGTATCATCGCAATTTGGCAGTTCCACTGTAAACTTATAAGGACAGGTGAAAATGATAATCTTTGAGACATATCAAGACATGAATATAGGAAAAAAAAAAAAGAAAAAACAAATGTCTTCATGTTAACTTTGGTCAATTAATATTTTTGAAACTATTTACAAAGGAGACAGAAATGTAAAACGCTTATTAGTAGCAAACCTAATAAAATGCATTTTTTAAATAATAAAATGCAAGCTGGCAATTTCTAAAGTGGATCAAAAGTACAAAAAATGTCAAGAATGCAGAGACTTGATGCTTAAGAACTGGAAGAAATGTAAAAATAAAGACACTTTCAAAAAGGGTGCAAATACTTAAGATCGTTGTCCTAAAGACCAGTATATCAGTCGATGGTTGTTTAACAAATCTAAACAACATTTATATTCCATGAAAAATAATTTTAAATTTTACATACTCATCTCCTATTTGTCTCTTTTCAATTTGAGAAATATCATAATAACGCAGTGCTGCTTCCAAGAACTTCCTTTTCAAGTCTAAGATCCTAGCATAGCAAACCTGCGACAATGAAGGAGGAGGGGATTAAAAGACAGAAGAATACCTATAATGCCATTCTTAAGTTAATGTCATCAAGAAATAAAAAGCATTTCTAACCTTGTACTGTAAATTCAGGACTTCATGCTGACTATAGCTAACCAAGAATGAAGCTTTATTAATAAACGCCTCAGCGTTAACAGCATCATCATCCTGTCAAAGAAGAAATTGAGCAATACAAGTGCTCAAGTATCTAAGGCTAAATGAACTTCCTTGTCCACTTAAGTATAAACATTAACAATTTTGCAGATTCTATCATTCATTCAATGCAACCTAACACCAATACCGATATGAACCAAAACATCTCAATCATGCAATATGAACTCTCGAGGAAAAAATGAAGAAAAATGTTTCAAATTATCACAAGATAAATTCAAGTTGCAATTCATGCCACATTAAAGAAAAATCAAGATTCATCTATTCTTGGATGGTTACAAATTTAGTGTGGATAATAATCTAGAGTTATGATGTTTCATTAATATACTTTAAGACTTTCTATTTACTGTTATATTTACATAGTGTCTAACTATGGTCATAAATTGAAAGTTACAACCCTTGAAATGCCTCATGGAAGGTTAAGGGTTTTCTTTTGAGGCTATATAAAGTGATGTAATCTTTGTAAACCAAACTTAGAAAAATGTAGTAAAAAGAGCTTTCGTACTTTTTTTTAGCCAAGAGCTAAGTTTATTTGCAATTCTATGTACATCAAGTAACATGTTTAGAATCATTCAAGCTTGACATGATCGATCTTGCTCGTGGAGTGATTTGAATTTCAAACAAGTGTTCTTGCTTTAAAATATTTATCAACAAGGTAATCTGAATCTTACTTTTCTTTGGGGTGATTCCTAATCATTTTTGGGTTCTTGGATATTTAAATCTAGAGGTCTTATTCTTCAATAAGGTTGTTAGATCAAATTCTAATAATTTGGAATGAAATCAACTTAATTTGGAGTTTTAGCATTCGGGATCTAGGGTTTGCCTATCCATGAGTTATGAGAGTTCTTAGATCCAATTGGCTAGGATTACCATATCAAATGTCCTCCACCATATTCATATAATGCTTTTATACAACGTAATAACAAATTGCCACAACTCACACATAGCCATTTGTTATAAATACCATCATAAGATAAACTGCAATAACAGAAATAGATTGTACCTCAAGGTATAAACGAGCAATTCGAACACATTTTGACAACCGGTAAGACTCGTCAATCACTCTGACAGAGACCATAAAGAGTTATAGTAACTGAAGATACAAGAGTTTAAAATATATATAACCCTATTTTCACAAAAGAAGTTGAAAGAAAAATGGGTGTTATACCTCATTCCGGAATCTAGATCAATGCCACTGAGCATCCGAGCGGCTTTTGACCATTGTTGCTCTGTTTCATACAATTCAGCAAGCTTCTCCCGAAGAATCAACACCTGCAACTCACGGAACATTATTTACTTCGTCTATGGATCCATAGCCAAAAGAAGTAGTAAACTGCAGCCCTTAACCACACTCAGAGCACTGTGAGAGAAGAACAAAAGAACCGAACAGATAGTAAACGTATTTATTTTAAATAAGTGATATTGCTGATTTCAATATAACTATACTCGTCCCCCTCCATTCCGTTAATGGAAGAATGAAAATAGGTTTACGCATTCAATTCCAATGTAAACCAAAGAACACTCGTGGCTCTATTTCTTTCAGATATAATTAAAATTAAGACAGCAAGAATATAAACACCATTTAGAAGGGTCATAATACGGATGACAAGGTCAGGCTCCCATTTCAATTGAGTGAGAAATGACAATGTGATTGGTTGTCATTCCATAATTGAGAAACATCGTTCCAAAAGCATATAAAAGAATAATGCCAGAGTTAAACCTGCTCCTCGAAAGAGACGACGCGCGGTTGAATCAGAACGAGGATGTAATGGGCAATCTCTTTCTGAGCCGCCACCTCCAAGTTCCCCAAATCTTGTGCTAGAATCTGCAAGAGCCTCCGCGATACTACAAGCGGGACTTCGTTGGATAGTACTGCATATCAAGAATCGTCAAGATGATTTGCCCTAACTTCGCGGTAAAATAACGAAACGAATGAGTTGGGAGAGAAACTTCAACGTATTAGAGAAAAAGTAAGGCAGCTAACTGTGATCGATAAACTTCTTGGTTTGAACTATATCGTTCAACGACAAAACATCATACAGAATGTGCTTATACTGTTCAATCTTCCGCCTCTGGTCTGAGATAGCAGAGGCGCTAGCAAAGGCACTCTCCATGGCAATTCACTGTTTCGCCTTCTTCCTTCTGCTTCGTGACTGGAAACCCTAGGTCGCGGGAAAGCCCTCTCCTCCACAGGCTCAATCCCGCCACCTGCAATGGAGGGAACTGCTTCTATTTGGTATCCGTGATCGCAAGCGTTCTCTACTGCGCGCATGAATAATAGTTGGTTGCCAGCCAATTATATAGCGGCACGTGTACATGAAGGGGATTTCGTCATTTCGTAATTCTTGATGGGAACGATTTTTTTTTCCCGCCCAACCTGTGTGTGAGCACCAGGTTGGAGGTTCGAGCTAATAGGAGTTCTGGAATTTCAACCTAACTTAGGGAAATGAAAAAGGTGGCATCACGGAAAAAACAAAGTATGGGATAGATTCAACGGGTGAAATGAAAAAGGTGGAGAAGTTAGATGGCAAGGATACAATGATAGTTGGGTCGAGATATCTCTCCGCCCTTTGAACCGAACGTGAAGAGTTTCATTTATCGGGCACAGCAGTGGTGGCATCGAGGCTGTAAGTCGAGGCACGACCATAACGTAAGGTTATTAAGTTCACATTTCTCTCCATCTTGAGATATTTAGAGAGAGACAAAGATTTATTGCGTGATCGCCCCGACTGTGCCTTACATGTGCTTTACTGACCGTGCGCCTTTCTTCCCAACAAGTCCATTATTATTATTTTTTTTTAATGGAGTTTGGTTAGGAAGTGAAATTAATATTAATTAATATAGTTGATTATTAATTTATTTTATGTTTTAATTACAATTTCATAATTAGACCACAAATAAATGGTCACAAGTATAATCCACGTCTCAATTACTTTAGTATATTATTTAAAGAAATTTGTTCTCAAACATGTACATTATATTAAATACCATTTGTAAGTCGATGTCGATTTCAATTCTGACGCAATATCTACTACTCAAAAGTGTGCATAGATATGAAAATATTATTACTCAACGAAAGAATACAGATTTAAGAATAAGAAAAAGAATTGGGATTGAATGTTCAATCTTCATTGATATTTTAAATAGGATACAAGATACTAAATAATATCTACCAAGAAAATATAAACTAATTAAATCCTGATAATAGAATAAAATATACTACCATTCAAATTCAACTGATTACGATATCTAAGATATATTTCCTAACTAATATATTCTGGAATATTACTAATATCATATATTTCATAACTAATTCAAACTAAAATAAGTTGCACTCAATTGTGACAAATTCATCCCCATTTGTATCGCGAGGTAATGGAAGTATGGGCACAAAGCGAAGTTTGATGTACCAGTTTCCCGCTTCTTCGACTTTCCCTCCCGTAATTGGCAAGGCAGTCATTCTTCAGTCTCGGAGCACGATCTTCTCTGTCAAAACGATTTTCCGCTCCACAATCTGAAACTGAACTGGAAACGATTTACAATCGCTTCAATCTGCAAGCTCTGTACCACAGGCGTCTCTGAAAATGGACAACACTGGTAAGTAATGGCGCCATTGGTTTCGTTTGGTCTCGACTATGATCTACGACGGTTTCCTTAATCCTTCGGTTTCATGATCCGCGTTGATCTCGACAAAATTGAAGTTATAGAATGGTGGAAAGAGAGACGAGAAGTAGGATTAGGATGTCGACCTTTTCTCTTGATACGGTAGTATGGAGTATCGATTTATTTGCCGCGAGTTTAGGCATTCATGTGTTTGTTTATGCTTTACTAGGATATATTACCGAGTTCGTGCTCTTAATTGATTGTTTTTATAAAGCGGTTTATCTACTCTTGCGTATTGCTTCGGATAGCGGTGCATGTTAATGTTAACTTCACCATCAGCTTATTGCAGATTTAGTAAATATACGAACACATAGTTGAGTATAATTCACATTCATTTCGGATAATTGCATGGTAGAATTTATTTTTCGTCTGGAATTCTCGATCCTGGCTATTTAATTAGTGATTTCATTCTATTATATAAAGCGTCAGATTCTGCAGTTGCTCTCGAGTTATCTGGTTTTTGCCTGCGTGAGAACTCTGTGAAGGATTTCTGAAGTCTTTCAGAGTTGAGGGCGTTGCTGGAGGAGGAACTGCTTATGGATGGAATAATGGAAGCTTAAATACGGCAGAGCTAGTAGATGTGTGGTGCATATCAAGCACAGAAAACGTTGGACCTCAGGAAATGCCTAGGCGTTTAGAACCCGTAAGTACGAAATAGTATATAATTTGCAGCTTATTGGTTAATGAACAAGCTTAATTCACGGAATAATGTCTTAATTAGTCCAACTAATAAAACAGGAACTAGTAATCGAACTTGATGCGGAGAAACCAGCAATATCCTGTTTGCTTACATATTGTCAAATGATTGTACCTGACAATTGTTTAAATACTTATATGTTCTTTGGAATTTTCTTTCTTGATGACTTTTGTTTGCATCATTCATGGAATTTCAAGACCTGCCTCATCTTCGCAGATAAATTTTTGGCAGCTAGAGAAATGAGAGGGAAAGTGTTCAAATTGCTATGCGCCCCAAATTATCTTGGGGAGGTTCTGGCGTGGCTGGAATTTTGCAGGCTTTTTCTGGTGATCTATGCTCCACATCTGGTGATCGGTTAGTGTCACTAGACAAACAAAGTTTCATATGTTGTTCCCCTAATAAGCATGCAGGTGTGGTTGTGTGCAGGCTAGTTGTTGGACAATCATTGAGGTCAGTCACCCAAAATACATACCCATGCTATACTATTGTAATATGTTGGGAATAATATTCATTTTAGAGATCTAACAACTATTTTGAAGGTAGGCTTTGCAATTATATTGTATCTGTAAAACTTCTGACTGTAAATAGTTGTTGAATTTGAAAAAAATCAGTGTCGAACTTTTTTATGTTTAGAATTGAATTTCAGTACCTGTAGTACGGTGATCAAATGATTAGTTTGAATGATTTCTACGGATAAATCTATTAGACTGATTGCCCAGAACTTTACTACAGTTTGTTGCTATTCTTTCAAAAATCTGACCACTTCAAGCTTTCTATGGCAGCCGTTGAATATGGAACATTATGATTCTGTTCGCAGTATGTCTAGTGAGATTCGTGATTATGCTCCAGATGCTCGTGTATTGACACATACTACTCTGGTATGAGACACAATCTTGATTTTGTTTGTTCTATTCATTCTACTGCAAACTCAGACTCTGGTTACACAACTTTCCCTGCTTGATAAATAATTTGCATGGCATTAGCTGGTTTCCATCTTGGACTATGTTAGCCGATATTGTCCTCTTTGGACTTTTCCTTTTAGGCTTTTCCTCAAGGTTTTGAAACACGTTTGTTAAGGAGAGGTTTCCACACCCTTATAAAGAATGCTTTGTTCTCTTTTCCAACTGATGTGATGTGAGAAACCTTATACATTTTTTGGCAACTAAATGTTGTAGGATTAGACAATTGTCTAGTGAGATTTAGTCGTGGCCAAAAAAAAAAAAGAAAAAAGCAGCAATAAGCAACTATATTCTTGGATTGAGTTATAAACTATATGATTACCTGTTGGACCTCTCCTTGAATCTAGTAATTGTTGAACACTGTCATAAGTCCTATTCTCTAGGACCAAGACCTACTCTCAAGGTCTTTTTTTTGGCTTGTTAGTTTATCTTTAGGTTTAGCAGAAGGCTATATAATGCCATTCTTTCTGCTGTTGAAATCATTAAGTTTTGAGTGTCATATTGTATGTCTGGAGTAACTTTGGTGTTGTGAGTACATTTGTTCCGCTTTCGGCGCACAACAAGTGGTATCAGAGCCTTATTGTGGTATTTGGGGGTATTGTGAAAGTTTGGGCCTCATCGACCATTAGACGTGCTCACAATCGTGTTTATTCTCTTGGAAATCAGTTTTCAAGAATTGTGTTTTTGAGTTACATCCAGATTAATTATTGCAAATGGCCGAACCATCACGACGTGGATCGAGAGTGTGGAGTTCCAATCTCGAAGTAGAAAAATTTGATGGAACCAATAATTTTGGTGTTTGGCGAGGCGAAGTTAACGATTTGCTGGTCATGCAAGACCTCGATGTTTCTCTCCAAGAGGAGATGCCTGAAGACATGACAGAAGCAGAATGGACAAAATTAAATCGGCAAGCCTGTGGAATTATTCGATCCTGTCTTGGCAAGGATCAGAAATATCCATTTATGAAGGTTACCATGGCGAAAGAATTATGGGACAAGCTTGAAGCGAAATATATGAAGAAGAGTGTGGAAAATAAACTCTATTTGAAGAAGAAACTCTTCCGTTTTGACTACAAGGAAGGTATCTCAATGGCTGAGCATTTGGATGATTTTAACAAAATCATCACTGATTTGCTCAATCTTGATGTTAAGATTGATGACGAGGACAAGGCGTTGTTGTTATTAAACTCTTTGCCGGAATCCTACGAGTTTTTAGTAACAACCCTACTACATGGAATCACTAATATTGATTTTGAAGATGTTTCAAATGCCTTAATAAACAATGAGATGCGAAAGAAGGAAAAGGAGACGTATCAAAGCTCTAGCTCAAATGTTCTCACTGCTCATGGAAGAACTTCTACCTGGAAAAGGAACGAATGTGGAGAGTCTCGATTAAAGTCGAGAGGTAGATCTGATAATTGGAGAAAACTTGATAAAAATGAGTGTGCATATTGTCGACAGAAAGGCCATTGGAAAAAAGATTGTTCGATCTTAAAAGAGAAGGGGTCGAAGTCCAATGTGGTTAAAGATGACGACACTGATACAGATGATGCCTTGACAATCTCCCTATCAGCCAGCCAAACCATTGAATGGATTCTTGATTCTGGGTGCTCCTATCATATGTGTCCCAACAAAGAGATGTTTTTGGACTTCAAAAAGTTCAATGGTGGAGTTGTCTATATGGGCAATGATAGTACTTGCAAGATAATGGGAATCGGCTCAGTACAAATCAAGATGTTTGATGGGGTTATACGAAAACTCAAAGATGTGAGGTATGTTCCTGACTTGAAGAAAAACTTGATTTCACTTGGCGTTTTGGATGCGAGTGGTTATCGCATCATTTTGGAAGGAGGGAATTTGAAAGTAGCTCGTGGAGCTTTGGTGGCAATTACAGGAACCAGAAGAGGTAGCATATACTACCTCAACGGAACCACAATAATTGGGCATGCTGCTATGGCAAGTTTGAAAGAACAAGACATATCGAAATTATGGCACATGCGACTCGGGCATGCTGGTGAGAAGGCGCTTCAGACATTGGTGAACCAAGGAGTCCTTAAGGGTGCCACAACTGGAAAAATTGATTTCTGTGAACATTGTATATTTGGTAAACAAAAAAATGTGAAGTTTGGTACAGCTATACACCAAACAAAGGGTATTTTGGATTATGTTCACACCGATGTATGGGGTCCCACAAAGAATGTCTCATTGGGAGGAAAGAGGTGGTTTGTCACCTTTATTGATGACTACTCGAAGAGAGTTTGGATGTATCCCATGAGGCACAAAAACGAGGTTCTCCAAATCTTCCTAGAGTGGAAGAAAATGGTAGAGAATCAGACGGATAGGAAAATCAAAAAGCTGAGATCAGACAACGGGGGAGAATATACTTATGATCCATTCCTTAAAATATGCCGAGATGAAGGGATCGTTCGACACTTCACTGTTCCTGGTAAGCCACAACAAAATGGAGTTGCTGAGAGAATGAACCAGACATTAATAGAGAAGGTTCGATGCATATTGTCTCAAGCAGGATTGAGTAAGGCATTTTGGGCTGAGGCTCTCAGTTATGCAGTTCACTTGGTGAATCGTTTACCTGTTTCTGGAAACGGTGGGAGAACTCCGCTTGAGGTATGGTCAGGTAGTCCTGTTAGTGATTATGATAAATTGCATGTGTTTGGGTGTCCTGCTTATTATCATGTGACAAACTCAAAATTGGATCCTAGAGCAAAAAAAGCCAAGTTTATGGGCTTTAGCAAAGGTGTGAAGGGCTATAGGTTATGGTGTCCAGAAACAAGTAAAATTGTTAATAGTCGAGATGTGACATTCGATGAGTCTGGAATGTTTTTGCAGAAAATTGAAAATAATGACGAGGCATTGAAGCAGGTGGAGAAGGTGGTGTTCTCTCCTGATGTGGTTGCTCCTACCGAAGAACCTATTGATCAGGTAAATAATAACTTTGATGTCTTAGAACAAAAAGAGCAAAGTCTTGAGGAGCAAAGCCTTGTGAATGAAAGAGTGGAGGAACCTGAGTCAATCGCCAAGAATAGACCACGAAGGGTAATTCGAAAACCTGCAAGGTTTGATGATACGATAGCATATGCTTTCTCTTTGATTGATGGAGTTCCTAACAGCTACAAAGATGCTATTCAGAGCCCGGATAGCTTACACTGGCAAGAGGCTGTGAATCAGGAGATAGCATCATTGGAGATAAATCAAACTTGGGATTTGGTACAACTTCCAAAAGGTAAGAAGGAAATTGGTTGTAAATGGGTTTTTGCAAAAAAGGAAGACTCTTCTGGTATACGTTATAAGGCTCGACTTGTGGCTAAAGGTTACGCACAAAAGGAAGGTATTGATTACAATGAAATTTTCTCACCTGTGGTAAAGCATTCTTCCATTCGAATTTTGTTGGCTTTGGTTGCTCAATTTAATCTTGAGCTTGCACAACTTGATGTAAAAACTGCTTTTTTGCATGGAGATTTGGAAGAAGAAATATATATGCCGCAACCAGTTGGTTTCCAAGTAGTTGGACAGCAACATTTAGTATGCAGATTGAAGAAATCTTTGTATGGGCTGAAGCAATCCCCTCGCCAATGGTATAAAAGGTTTGATCATTTCATGGTAGAGCATATGTATACTCATAGTCAATTTGACCATTGTGTGTATTATCGGTGTTTCGATGATGGATCGTTTATCTATTTGCTCTTATATGTTGATGATATGTTAATTGCTTCAAAGAGACAGATGGAGATTGATAAGCTCAAAGATGAGCTTTCTAAAACATTTGAAATGAAAGACTTAGGCAATGCAAAGAAAATACTTGGAATGGAAATAGAGCGAGATCGGAAAAAAGGTACAGTCTGGTTGACTCAGTCTCAATATCTACGCAAGGTATTGTCAAGATTTAGTTTGAATAATTCAACCAAACCCGTTAGTACTCCACTTGCTCCTCATTTCAAGCTTAGTGCTTCCATGTGTCCAAGTTCTGATGATGACAAAAGGTATATGGAGAACATTCCTTATACAAATGCTGTTGGTGCGTTGATGTATGCTATGGTGTGTACTCGACCTGATCTTTCACACGCTGTAAGCATGGTGAGTCGTTATATGCATAATCCTGGTAAAGAGCATTGGCAGGCTGTAAAATGGATTCTTAGGTACATTCTTGGCACTATTGATGTTGGTATTAAGTTTCAAAAACAAGAAATGTTTAATCTTGACAATCGTGTAGTTGGTTATGTGGATTCTGATTATGCTGGTGATTTGGATAAGCGACGATCTACTACGGGTTATTTATTTACTATGGCTGGTGGACCTGTTTGTTGGCGTTCAACATTGCAGTCTACTGTTGCATTGTCTACCACTGAAGCAGAGTATATGGCAGTAACAGAAGCTTTTAAAGAAGCTATTTGGATGCATGGTTTGATCAATGACTTGGGTATTTTGCAGGAACATATAGATGTATTTTGTGATAGCCAGAGCGCTATTTGCTTGTCAAAAAATCAAGTCCATCATGCTCGTACAAAACACATTGATGTCCGTTTTCACTTTATTCGAGAAATTATTAGCAAAGGGGATATTGTTATTAAAAATTGGAACTGCTGATAACCCTGCTGATATGTTGACAAAGGTGATCACTCGTGAAAAGTTCTGGCATTGTTTAGATTTCATCAACGTCGGAAGGGAGTAGTGTGTTGACATGGTAGCAACCAAATTAGCTATCAACTTGGAGATCTTATGACAAGGTGGAGATTGTTGAACACTGTCATAAGTCCTATTCTCTAGGACCAAGACCTACTCTCAAGGTCTTTTTTTTGGCTTGTTAGTTTATCTTTAGGTTTAGCAGAAGGCTATATAATGCCATTCTTTCTGCTGTTGAAATCATTAAGTTTTGAGTGTCATATTGTATGTCTGGAGTAACTTTGGTGTTGTGAGTACATTTGTTCCGCTTTCGGCGCACAACAGTAATCTCTTCAATGGTAGATCATCATCAACCAAACCTAATATGAAGCTCGTCTCTCCCTTCCAGATAAACTTCCATCACCATGTGGGATGGTTTTGTCACGGTTGAACCTGGAGGGTAGTGGTCCTGGGCCTCCTGACCTGGTTAGAAATAGGTAGATTTTCATTTATTCTACATGTCATGCAGTGTCGTTAGCTGTTCATAGCTACCATCTGCCTTATCTGTTGCCAATTAACTGGCTTAAAATGATTAATATTTTACATTTCATAAAGCATATAAAAACACTAAAGAAATATTTTTTTTTAAAAAAAAAGAACAATGTAGTCAATGTTAATAATTGATCAGCCTCCCTCTCATAGACAAAACTCTCTCAGCTCTTGGTAACATAATTGACCTTTACATGAATAGTCTTAGACTCTGTAAGATGCATTATACGAACACCATAATGACAAATGAGAAGAAAAAAAGAAGGTAAAGAGCATGGAAAGATGAAAGCTTTTTTAGTTGGAAGTTATGGCTATCTTTCTCAGTCCCACAAGCCATCAAAGATATCTAATTGACAAATCAAATAGGTGATGATTACTTGTGCATCTTTTGCTCTTCTTGCCTTTTGAAATTGTGCTACTCCTCATCCCCTACAGCTGTTTATTTTTGTGTAGTCAATGTTGAGCTAGGCCCCATTAGAATTTAGAGCCTCAAAATGTGAACCTTTTTAGTTTTAAATTTCATGTGTTTTTTTCTTCTTCTTTCTTTCTTTCAAGTACTTTTTCTTTTAGTGTATTTGAAACCAGTTCTTTCTGATGTTACTTTTTAGTGCTTTTAAATAATTATCAACACCACTTTTGATTGCCTAACCAAATATACAAGATTTTTTATTCACAATTCCAAGTCTTGCCTAACTCATTAATGCTACTTATTTTTTTATTTTTATTTTTTTTTATTTATGAAATTTGGTAAATGGGTAAAATAATAATAATCATAATTTTCATCTAAGAAAATATACTTTCAAATTTAAGATTATTTTTTTCTTTATAAAAAAGCTAACAATAAATTAATAATAGAAACCGTTAAAGTTAGTATAAAAATTAAATTTAAATATTAGTGATGACTACGTCTATGTGTGCCTAATCTCAACTAAATAAATAAAAAAAAGCATAGAAAATGGGTCAAATTTTGTCTCCATTCTTATGAAATCTGAACTCACAAGTTGGTCCACGTGAATAAATTATAATTATGTTAGGATAATTATTTTTCAATTATAAACGGCGACGATAACATAATAAAATAATTAACGTGTAAAATCTTGTTGGATTTAAAATCGGTGTGTTCATACTTACAAATGACAAATTCCACATTGGATACTCAGTTTATACTTGCACTACAAATTCATCAACAAAATCAATATTAATAAATTTCATATAGAATAAGCATTTTCATGTTAGCATAATTTTTAGATTAAATTATAAATTTGATTCATATAATTTAATAGATAATTTTTAAACTCTAATCTTTTTTTAATTAGATTTTACCATATTTATAGGTCTACGAGACATTATTTTAATAATATAAGTTCCCATGATTTAAATTTGTAATTTGAAGAATTATAAAAAATTGAAGCATTAATATATTGTCTCAGATTGGTTATTTATTTATTTATTTTTAAATTAGGATATTATTATACAATACAATATATTATAATTATATGATATTCTAAAGTAATAATTATACAAAACATGTTAAAATTAATTTATTATAAATCATTTAACCTAATACTTAGTTTTACAACTACCAATATATGTTATAAAACACACTTATTTAAATTAAAATCCACAATTATTTCAAATTTTTATTTTCAATAATGTCATATATATTATTTTTGTATGAAGCCTCAATTATTGACCCTTTTAATAGATGATATTTACTAATTTTCTGTCACATCATAATAATTTAGATAAAGCATCGATGACATGAAACTGGGTAATCTAAATTCTTATTTTTATAACAAAATTTAAAAGTGCACAAAATTCTAGAATTTTACCCAATTTTCTACCCTCCACTCAAACCCCGATTCTTTCACCATTATTGAAGAAGCAAAAAGGCTCACGGAACATGGTTCAAAAGTACCACTATTTTCAAATCATTTTACCAATTAAAACCAATATTTTTTCACAATAAATATCTATATATATATATATATATATATCGTATCAAGGTCATGTTTATCTATACACGTTGTCTATGGTTGCACGACCATGGCCCCTTTTTACCTTGGGCTAGAAAAAAGATTTTAATTTTTTAACCAATATTTTGTAAAAAAATTAAAATATTTTGATTAACAACAATAAAATTATTTTCATTTCTATGTTTTTATTAGTATTAAAATATGGATATTTTCACCGCCATAAAAAATAAATAGAGAGAGAGACCGCCGGCAGCCGGACGCGGGGGCGGCGGAGAGAAAAAGGGCAGAAGTGGTAATGATTTAAATATTTGAAAAAGGCAGGTGGCCTTTGTCCATATTGGATATTGGATATCGGAGTCCTCAGAGACACAAAAGGACAAAACAATCCTTGCCGTTTTTAAACACATTCTTTACCCTACAACCGAAAGCACGACCTTCAAAATGGAACCGCCCCTGTGATTTGAATGATTGTACATCTACGTTGCATCATAATCTGAACGTTCCACTGCGCTCGTCCCCACCATAGCCCCGTGGTCTCTACCCTTGCTCATAGCCCCGTGGACACGAATTTCAAGCACGTGTAGAGTGAGTGAGTGCTCTCTGTAGTGTTAGCTCGTATTCTATCCGTACTTCACTTTAAAAAACACCTTTACTCTGTCCCAAATAGCCCCCGACTTCATGATATTTACGTCATTGCCACCATCCTTCCCTCGGGCCCTTTCTTTTTTTTTAATAATAATAATTTAAAATTTAATTGGTAAATATTAAAATTATTATTATTTAATAAATTTGATATATTTGAGCTATTTTCTTAATTTGTAGATAATTAAATAATTTAGAGAAAAAAAAAGGTACAAAATGAAGTAATTGACAATTTTGAATAAAAAGGATGACTCATTTTAAAAAAAAATAGAAAGAATTTGTGGGATTTGGGGATGGTAATTAGGGGTAGTATTGTCATTTCAGTTATCAATTTGTAAAGAATGATTCAGTAGACTACAAGAATAGAGTATGAAAGACAAGAAATTAAAAGGAAAGAAATAGCTAGACGACAAGCACCGCCTAGTCCGATTTTACCCGACAAATGTTATCACGTAGCAGATTACGACACGTGGATGGATAGATTTCCATCGGCTGCCGGAAGGATTAGAAGGGAGCTCGGCTCAGGCGTCCCTATTAACCATGGTTACTGCGACACAAGTCTAGCTAACCACGGTTAACTGGCGCCGCTTTAACTACTTTTTAATTATTTTCCTCTGATTTTTAGTCTACTGCTTCTCTTCTCTCTCTCTCTAGGCATTTTGGCCTTTTCTACTCAGTTAAGGGCAAACTCAGATACCGCCGCCTTAGGCGCACTGGTATTCCGTCCACCTTCCGGTGCAATCTACCATGTAGATTTCAGTTTTCATTTGCACATTCTCTGAGAACTAGTTAGATTATACCAAATGGACTGTAAATTCAGACGGTCCCAGGGCTTTTAGGTTCAGTTCATCCTTTCAATTTTCGTAACATTCACAATTCGGACACCGCGTAGTGGTGGAGTGGTATTCGAGCTGTTGTATTGATTATTCAATAGAGAGCTGTATTTTCTGTTGGAATTGATTTGGAATAGTTAGTTTCATCAACCGACTGTGTGGCTGAACTTTCGGTGAAGCTAAAAGCCTAAAACTATATTTTCGTCGGGGTTATATGCGAAATGGTTGATTTGGAAAATTCTTCCCCGGTTGAGGTTTCCAGAGATGCTGGTTTATCTTCTTCAGGTTATATTGAACCAGTGGCGGTGGTGGCTCCGGCGAAGAAGAAACGGAACCTGCCTGGAATGCCAGGTAAGGGAATTAAAAGGCAATCGGACAGATGATTTGAGTGGTTTCAGTCGCTTTTGGCTTCGGATATGATATTTAGATTTGATTATTTCTGTTTTTCAGATCCGGCGGCGGAGGTGATTGCTTTGTCGCCGGAGAGTTTACTGGCGACGAACCGGTTCGTATGCGAGATCTGCAACAAAGGTTTCCAGCGGGACCAAAACCTGCAGCTTCACCGGCGAGGCCACAACCTTCCGTGGAAGCTCCGACAGCGGACTAGCAATGAGGTTCGTAAGCGCGTCTATGTTTGCCCGGAACCTTCCTGCGTCCACCATAACCCGGCGAGAGCGCTTGGCGATCTCACTGGAATAAAGAAGCATTTCTGTAGAAAGCACGGCGAGAAGAAATGGAAGTGCGAGAGATGCTCGAAGAAATACGCCGTACAATCCGATTGGAAAGCGCACATGAAAACTTGCGGAACTCGAGAGTACAAATGCGATTGCGGCACTTTATTTTCAAGGTTCGATTTCGTTTTTTTTTTTTCTTTTCCTCTGTGTTGGATGGATGGATGCCTAGAAATCATCGCTTCATTATTTATCTTTTCGGTTGAAATTTGTTCTGTTACTTGAAGGAGGGATAGCTTTATTACACATCGAGCCTTTTGCGATGTATTGGCGGAGGAAAGTGCTCGTGCTCAAACCCTAGCAGTTCAAAACTCTGAAGGAAAGGAATCCACCACTTCAAAAGCCGCCGTGACTTCTCCTCCTCCGCCGCCCCTAACACCGTCGACCACGGTGGTTTCTCCGGCGTTATCGATTCACAGCTCAGGTATTATATTAATCATGGCAAAATCATCTAAATCAACGTCATTCTATGTAATGTTTTGGTTAATTTTTTTTCGATAAACTCCACATTTATCACGACTTGCGTGCGTTTGTTCAATAACGTGTAATTAAGAGGCTAATCGTGTCAAATGAAACCTTTTTTGATCCATTGTTGTTTGCGAGTCCTCTCTCTTTTTTTATTTTGTTTTCCCCCTTTAGTTGCTCTTCATGATTGTGTAGTACTGCTCATTCACGGGTAATTGTTGCATGGATGACAAAGAAGCTCAAAGAACGAGGATAGTGGGAAGGGAGAAAGAGGGCTTACTGGAAAAAAGTCGCCATTATTCCCTTCCCTTTTACTTCCAAAAGTGCTTTTCATTTTTAAGTTCAAGCTGTTCATCATTTACAATAAACAATTAGCTAGAAAAGTTTCTGTTCCACCTTTCTCTCTCTCTTTCTGATCGCAGCATTCTACCAAACTAGTTTTTCTTTTTTATTCTGCCCTTTCGTATTCAATTCTCAAATTCTTTGACCTGCTTTTGATTCATTAATTAGCTTCTTTTTTTTGTTGATTCTCATGCTACCCCCCGTTGAGTTCCACGAAGATTTGACAGATTGTTGTTGGTTTACAGAGCTAGCTGATAATCCGATAAGACTTCCATCTGTTTCAACGCCTGCAGCGACGACATGCTTGACCTCCGCGTCTGTCAATAGTACCACAAATGCAAGCGCTAACGGCAGTAGCTCAAACAATGTGTTTGGAAATTGTACTGTTTTTGCCCCTTCTGCGTCAATTTCAGGGACGACCCAGATATCCCCAACATTACCACCACCCAGTTTACCCGCGTCAATAGTACCCTACGATTGCGCCTCTACTCGCCCTTCTGCTTCCGCAGTTAATCCCACATCGCTCTCTCTCTCCACATCTCTCTATCTTTCCTCTAAAGGATCCTCCCTCTTTGCCCCATCTGACCAAGATCGTCTGCAGTACACGTGGTCCACTCAACCGGCAGCCATGTCTGCCACCGCCCTGCTGCAGAAGGCAGCAGAAATGGGGGCAACAGCGTCTAATCCGTCGTTGTTTCGTGGCTTTGGGATGGCCACTTCTTCGACTGGTCAAGATACCTCTGCCACTATTCAATGGAGTAGGAATTTGAACCGAGATCATCGGAATGGCTCTTCGTTAACGGCTGGTGTAGGGCTTGATCTCCCATCCGGACCTGACGGTTCTGGTTTGATGATGGCTGGAGGCCCATTTTGCTCGTTTGGAAGTCAGCCCATGACGAGAGATCTTCTTGGTCTTGGCTTAGGCGGTGGTGGGGCCTCTGCAAGTAGATTCTCGGCTTTGATTGCTTCCATGGGTGGTGGGTCTGGTTACCCCGTTGCAGCTTCAGACGCCTGCGGCGGAAGTGGCAATGGAAGCCCCTCCGGCGACGCTTGGGATCAAGATGAAAAGCATTGAAGGTCGAAACTCAACCGTTGATTGCTGGCTGGAACTGCTCATATTCTTATATGGAGGTCAGACTCAAAGCCATGCATTCTTTTCTTTTTACTCTCACCATGTGTAATTAATGTAAATTTTTTCTTGCTCTTCGAGGTAAGTTAGTTGAATTTTGGTGATAGGATCTGGAAATAAATCAGGTTCGTTTAGACATATAACCCATGTTTCATACATATTCTCCTTCAGATTACATATGATTTCGGCCAACACCCTTGAATGTTTGTAATCGGAGCTAGCTCCAATTAAAGAGTTGAAATTTTGAAAAGGTAACTTTCCCGAGATTGTCTCTGTGGAAGGTGACATCGGGGCTTCAATTGCGGTGAGGTTTTCAACAAATTGGTACTTGAACATTAATGTTCATAATGGTTCTGTTCATTTGACTTGTCGATTCCCGGTGGTCCAAGTTCCGATCTGGTCCATTGGTCAGACCGTCAAACTATATTTAATGAGATGAGTTGGCTGAGGTGGTCCTCCACCGACTCCTCGCCTCATAGGTCCGTCCATCTCCACGGTGGTTGCCGCCCCATCCGTCGCCCGCCGAACTGTCACTGTTTGTGTATGTCACAGTGACCTAACTGGGTAGTTACAAAACCCATCCGTATGGTTTGAAAATTTGAATCTCGTTCTAACTTTGTCCTTATAAATTTAGTTACATGTTTTGGGCTTGGTTGCTTATCATCTACCTTGTTATTATTATTTTTAAATGAAGAATATTAATAATAAATCAGCATAATGTGACATAAATAATAGAGAGTTTGATCAAATAATTTAAGCATATTGCACCTATTCATCTCACGCTGTTTTTAATGCATCCACCATTATTTTATATACCTATTCTTCATTGCCCAACATAATTATAAAGTTTAATACTTTTATGTCAAATTTTACTAAAATTAAATTTTCTAAATGATATTTCTTTTCTATAATAAAAATTAACTTCAAATTAATACAAATTTTACATTTTATTAAAAATACATATCTAAAATGGGAAATCATTAAAGCTGCGTTGTAATTATGACGTCAAACTTTAAAAAAAGGAAAAAAAAAAAAACTTAATAGGGAAATCTTTAAGGACGAAGCAGAAATAACGCTAATTACTTCAATAATTCTCTGGACATCATTTAATTTTTTTAAATGGATAATTACGGATCGGATAGGAATAAATGATGATAAAACCGGCCAACAGCTCTGCCAATAATAGGTGTTTTTTTTTTTTTTTTTAATTTAATTATTATCTTCTTTCTCATTATTATATTATTCATTGCAGTGCGTCACTTGCTTAGTCGTTACGGAGCTTGGGTATGCAGAATTCCAGAGGAAAAGACACTCCATCTAGGAAACGACGTCGTTGCCATATTAGTCATCCATATTTTCTTTTTATTTTTTGGTTATTGATATTTATTAATTATAGCTGGTTTAACGAAATTGTTGAGCTTCTATTTTAATTTTATGCTAAATTAATAAAAGTAATAATACCTTTAAAAAAATTTAAATTACTTTTAAACTTAAAAAATAATTAAAGAATACTGTCAATTAAAAAATATTCTTAAATATTTAAAAATACTTTTAAATTTTAAAAATTTTCTTAATACCCTTAAATTTTTTAAAAAACTAACAAAATAAGAAGATATTTAAATAATTTAAAAAAAAAAATGTACCTTTTAATCTTCAATAAATTCATGAATTTTATCGAGCAATAATCTAATATTATACCTTAAATTTGACATATTTAATTCGCGTTCTCGAACTTTAACCAGGAGCAATTTAGTTTCTATACTTTCAAATTTATAATAATTTAGTTTTTATTAGTAACAAAAACTTATCAAAACTAAATATAGATTTTTATAAGTAATATTTAAAATTTACTAAATTAATTAAAATACATTTAAACTTTAAAAAATCTAAAAAAATACACTTTATTTTTGGTGGAAAACATTCAACCTTTTTTTAAAAAATTAAAATTTATTAATAAAAAATATATATACAATAAGCTTTAGATTTTTTATTTTTCTCTATTTGTAAATTTGGGTTTCTTATAAAAAAAAAATATATATATATACCTTTGGGGGCATTTTGCCCCATATGATATTCTGAAAAGACATTTATACCCAAATTAGCCTCCCTCTAATGGTCGTTCCCTTAGCAACCAGACGTCTTGGCCACTAATAACGGGCAAAAGACGACCTGGGGATTGGCTATCGCAGTTACCAAAATACCCCCACCGAGGTTCGAAACCCACCGATGAGGAAGAATGGCATTTTCGTAAATAGCACGATTTATCCCTCTCAATCCAGTGTCGAGACCGGTCAAACGACCCATCGCCGAGCGTGTTAATATAATAAATCTTGACTTCGTTATATATATATAAGATAATTGCAAATTCGAATAAATTCGAGCGTTAGGGTTTTTACTTAGCGTCCGCATCCATAGAAATTCCTGGATTCCATCATCTTAACTCTCTTCTATCAATTCTGTTCACAGGAAAGGTGCTACACAGGGGACGAGCTCTATCGAATTTGGAAGGTTTGTTCTTTGATTTTGCTCTATGGAAAATTTTGAGATGTTGTGTGCGATTCAGGTTGCTAGAATTAGGGTTTCGATTTAGTTGTTATGTGATTGAACTGGGAGAGTGAGGTTCCCGTTGTTGTCATTTTATTCTCGCCTTTTCCGTATTGTCGGCGAGTTTATATATTTTTGGTATCATTTTTGAATACGTGCGTTATGGTTTATCTTCATTCTAGTGTTAACGACATGGATATTTACGCCATTTAAGTATCGGTTTAGTACGTTTCATCGTTCAATTAGTTCTTGGATCGTCACTGAATGCTTTCTTAAGGAGAAAGAAAACTATTTGGTAAGTGGAGTTGAAATGTGATGGTGATTTTATATGGGGTTTTACCTTGATTAAGTTTGAAATAAACTTGCCCCGAGAATAGGATGTATAAAGTTTGAATCTCCATCCACACAGGTTTTTGGACTCAAATTAGAAAGATTTGAAGTAGACTTGCTCGTATTTCTGTACTCATTTACTGAACTTTTAACTGGGCAGGTTCTGGAACATATTGGCATACTGATCAGGGAAAGTACCATGTGTGAAGTACTCTGAAGATAGATGTGCTGGGAGGAATGTTATTCTTTCTCACACAAAGTTGTAGTGGTTGCATCCTGTGCAGGAAAAGAATCAAAGAGAGACCCTTCTGTTTAAGGGGCTAATATGCCATCCTATATGTCAAAACTACGAGCACCGGTTCACTTTCTAGGGTGGGAAGGTGGATTTAAAAGTTCACTGGAGTTTCTTTTTGGGCAACAGAAACTCTTGTGTGGCAGTTCAAGCCTGTTTCACTCAGTACCTTATTCCTCACTCACAGAATTGCATGCACTCTTAAGACCTGGCACTATTTCTGGTTCTAGTTCAGAGCTAGTTAATAGTAGGAGGAATATCTCTGTTCTTGGAGCAATTTCTCGCACATTTTCTATTCCTTCTGTGTCAGGCCCTGCGTTACAGACCTGTGGGTATCACATTGATTGTGCCATTGCTGAATCCAATCAATATTCAACTCGCAGCAAGTTTCAAGACAACCCAATGGCTGCTTGTGGTTCTAGAGCTGGACTTGGTGAATGTTCTCTCGAGAATCTAAGTTTTAGGATTGCACGCACCTCTCCTCCAGCGATCAGTCCTAGTATTTGTTTCAACAAAAGAAGCGTTGATTGCTGCCCAAAAGCCAGCATGAGTTTGAAAAATCAGGAGCAGCCTAGCAATAATGTGATATATGGATACTTTACATACAATGTTGCAAAAAGGTTTTGCAGCAGTTACCTACATGCTGGGTTGGGAGCAAGGGATCTTCATAGTTCGTCCACTTCTTCCCTAGCTGCTGGTTCTGCCCCCAATTTGTCATTTGATAATTCTGCACGGGAGGAACAACTTGCCAACTCTACTGATTCATCCGCACAGTATGTTCTCCACCTGATTCCTTGGTTTAAAATGAAAATATTATAGTCTATATGCTTAGTTTAAATTACATCACAACTTCGGTTTAAACTTACCAGATTGAATGTTTTGAATATTATTGTCAATTGAACTTGTTCTTTGGTCGTCCCATTCTTATAGATCCACTTGTTGAGGGTGAAATGGGAATCATAGCCTGTTGTCCGTGCTTAATGAACATTTGTGGTTTTTTTTTTTCAATATTCCAATATTGTACCCTATGGTGCTTTGTTGTTTTTGGATCTCATTATGGAACTCTTTAAGATTGCCGGCACAAAGTATGCTGTGATACCGCTCTTCACACTTTTAAGTGACAGTATCAGTTTGAATGCAAGTGTTCTTCTTAGCTCTAAATTTCCTACTATATTCTTCACAGAAAGATTCCGAAAGGCAAATCGATGAAACTGGTTTCTGGGTCTTGCTATCTGCCCCACCCTGATAAAGAAGATACTGGTGGAGAGGACGCTCACTTTATTTGTGTGGATGAACAAGCTATAGGGGTGGCTGATGGTGTGGGTGGTTGGGCAGATCTTGGTGTTGATGCTGGACAGTATTCCCGAGAACTCATGTTTAATTCAGTTAATGCAGTTCAAGAGGAGCCCAAGGGCTCAATTGATCCAGCTAGAGTCTTGGAGAAGGCTCACTCGAAAACAAAAGCCAAAGGCTCCTCCACTGCCTGTATCATAGCGCTTACAGAACAAGTATGTTGTTTCACTTGAGACCATCATTCTTTGTAAGTTCAAATATAGGCAAGTTGTTTTAGATTTTGAAAGTTGGAGTCTGATCTTATTTTATCAAGACCAAACTCTCTGTTTTTAATTTTCAGATCCTTGATTTGGTGTTTCATTATAATTTTTCTTTCTTTGACCAAAATAATTTCTGGAGGTTTCTATTTAAGTATAGCCTAAGTCGTCCTAGTTTGATCTTTTGGATGGAATGTATAACGAGAAAAACTCTTTGATGTCTTCTAGAGCTTGCTACAACATTTAAAATTTTCCCATAGTTTAGTGAGGTGGAGCTTGATACTTCCCTATACAATATAATTATATCTATCAATAATTTTAGCTGGTTTTTGTGCAAGTACTTGCTCATATCTCGTGTAGTTTTTATTTTTATTTTTATTTTTATTTTTATTTTTACTTTTTATTGCAGGGGCTCCATGCAATCAATTTAGGAGACAGTGGATTTATGGTGGTTAGAGACGGATGCACAATATTCAGATCTCCTGTGCAGCAGCATGATTTTAACTTCACCTTTCAATTGGAGAGTGGAAACAATGGTGATTTACCTAGCTCTGGACAGGTCAGTATTCTCATCAGCTTCTCTGTGTCTGTAGTTTTCGTTCCCGTTCCTGGTACTTTTGTTTGTACCACAGTAGTTGCTTCGTGATTTTTTTCGAACGAGAGAGAGTAGAGTTAGCAACCTCCCAAAATTGAGAGTAATTGGAACTTTTTGGCAATAACCTTAACTTGATGATGATGGGATTATCAAAACTGATTCAGGTCTTCTCGGTCCCTGTTGCTCCTGGAGATGTCATAATTGCTGGCACTGATGGACTCTTTGATAACTTGTACAACAACGAGATCACCGCAGTGGTGGTTCATGCCATGAGAGCTGGCTTAGGCTCTCAGGTGACTGCCCAGAAGATAGCTGCTCTTGCACGCCAGCGAGCTCAAGATAAAGACCGACAAACACCTTTCTCCACTGCTGCTCAAGATGCTGGGTTTCGGTACTACGGAGGCAAGCTTGACGACATTACCGTCGTCGTGTCATATGTTGCCAGCTCCAACGACAAGTGAGTGTCCTGAACGTCTTCTCGCATACTTTCATCCCCACGTTTCTGTATATAATCTTTGCAGCATATAAACATTGACATTGCTTATTGTATCAAAGCATTTCATTGAACTATCTTAACTCTTTACATGTTGAAGAGTGGATGACCTCTTTTGTAAGTGAAAAAAATCAGGGGCGTGAGCCATCCCCAGGTTTGAGCGGTTGTTTCTCTGCTTTCTACTTCCATCTGAATCCTTTCTGTGCTCATCTGATACATTAAGTGAACGAACAAGACCAATGTAAAGGCTTTTTTTTTTGGTTTTTCCATCCCTGTTTTCTTAGCGAGAAATGGTGTTCTTGTTTGGAATATGATTTTGGTCAAATGGGTAATTGTGAACGAGCGGATCCAACGGGTGGCTTCGAGCGTGTGGATAATTCCCACACGCCATTGCTAAAATGAAAAAAAAAAATATTTAATTTTCTAAACAAGTGGTTTAATAAAATATTATTCAAAATTTAATTGTGATGTATAGGAAGATATCTTCACGTCTGAATTAGGGTGGTAGGGTTGGAAGTGTAATTTTAGATTGCTTCTAAAACTCTCGTACATACTTTGAATTTAAACACTCTTATTATTACTTGAATATGTTAAATTGAAATAAATAAATAAATACGGTATTGTGATTTGGAAAGTTCTAAAAGTTGACTTTCTTTCCATCGACCATTTTTTTAATATATAAAAAACCTCAAATTCCAACGTTGACTTTAAGGAGTAGGGATAGAGAGGGGTTAATCTTTGATAGGTAGCTTTCAAGGAGGGGCATAAATGGAAAAGAAAAAAGAGAGCACACGTTTGTCCTCAACCAGGCCCAGGCCCAGGCCCATCTGGTTCCCATTTTCTTACCCTTTCTGCACCAAACCAAGACAAAATAGAAGTCATAGTCATACGCCTCTCCTCTCTTCTTTCTCTCTCATTCCAGTTCCGACGACCAAAATTTCTGGTGCTTTAAGGTAACAGAAAACAGTCCCATTTTCTTTATTTATGGAATTGTAACGATCCCTTCCTTCTACTTCAAGGGAATGCCAAATCTCTAATTCCTAAAACATTCTCTGGTTGTTTCCCCTTGAAGTCTATACTCTCCTGCTTCACTCACTCCCCAGCTGCGCCTGATTTCTCCATGGCCGGCCGTAAAGACAAAGCTCAGTCTGCCCGCGTCTCTCGAATCGTCATCGCCATCGCAATCGGAGTTCTTGTTGGCTGTCTTTTTGCTTTCTTGTATCCTCATGGACTTTTCGCCTCTGATCTGCCTGTCCAAAACCGTCGCCTCGGCAAATCCGAGTTTCTGGTTTGTTGCTTGTTGCCCTAATTCCTGTTTCTGAATTTCTATACCGATTTGAATTGTCATTTATTTTTTATTTTAGCGAAATGAACCCGAATTGACATGTATGTTTTGAGGTTTCAAGTGTTTCGGATTGTACTTTATTGTTCTATAATTTATATATCTTTGAGAGGAGTTCGATTTCTTTTTTTTCCTTTCACTGTTTGTCGTTTCTTCTTGAGCGATGAAATTCATAATCAATTCTTTGATTAATTATTTTGGCGTTCTTTTAAAGATTTGTGGGTAGTGTGAGCACTATGGTAGCTAGATCAATTCTTCTGTTTGTGTTGTTTTCATTTTAGTTTGACTTGTATGTTCATGATTTGGTTTGTGCATTTCTTTTGAATCTTTACTTTTTAGAAGATGTTAGTTTCAGTTTATGACCTTAAAAAGTTTTAGGTTTCATTGACTCGCTAAATTAAATCAAAACATATCTGTGTCAAAATATCACATTATCTAACGAACTTATCCAGTTGATATCTAGCTTAATTGAGTTTGGATGGAATCGTTGGGCTTTTGGAGATTCTGGAGGAAAATTTTCGTGTATCCTCAATTTCCTAATTTTTTTTTTTCTTACACAGGTTCAGTCTTCTTCTCCTTGCGAATCGTCGGAGCGGTTCAAGATGCTTAAAGGCCACGTCGTTTCAATATTAGAGAAGAACTCCCAGTTGGAGAAGCGTATAAAGGATCTAACAGGGGAGCTGAGGATTGTGGAACAAACAAAAGATCATGCTCAGAAGCAATATTTGGCGCTCAGTGAAAATCACAAGGCTGGCCCATTTGGTACTGTCAAAGGTCTTAGAACCAACCCTACCGTAATCCCTGATGAATCTGTAAACCCTCGATTGGCGAAGCTCCTGGAGAAAGTTGCTATCCAGAGGGAGCTGATTGTGACACTTGCGAATTCTAATGTACAACCCATGCTGGAGGTTTGGTTTAAGAGTATCCAGAAGGTCAGTATACCGAATTATTTAGTCGTGGCTCTGGATGACCAGACGGAAGAATTCTGCAAATCCCATAATGTTCCTGTCTACACGAGAGATCCAGACAAGAGTGTTGATTTAATCGGAAAGGAAGGAGGCAACCACCAAGTCTCGGCATTGAAGTTTCGGATTTTGAGGGAGTTCTTGCAACTTGGATACAGTGTTCTTCTCTCAGACGTCGATATAGTCTACTTACAGAATCCTTTCGATCATCTTTACCGGGATTCAGATGTGGAGTCGATGAGTGATGGTCACAGCAATATGACAGCTTATGGATACAACGATGTATTTGATGAACCTGCCATGGGCTGGGCTAGATATGCACACACTATGAGAATATGGGTTTACAACTCTGGTTTCTTCTACATTAGGCCTACACTACCTTCGTTTGAGCTTTTGGATCGTGTCGCGACTCGGCTTTCTCAAGAAAAAGCATGGGACCAAGCTGTTTTTAACGAGGAACTCTTTTATCCTTCTCGTCCTGGACGTGATGGACTTCATGCCTCCAAGAGAACCATGGATATGTATCTTTTCATGAACAGTAAGGTACTCTTCAAGACTGTTCGTAAGGACCCGAAACTCAGACAGTTGAAACCCGTCATTGTTCATATTAATTACCATCCCGACAAGTATCCAAGAATGAAAGCAGTCGTCGAATTCTACGTGAACGGTCAGCAAAATGCTCTGGATTCGTTCCCAGATGGTTCTGAATGATGAACCTCTCTTCCAGCACATCATCACAATACTAAGTCCCATGAGCAAACAATGCGGCCATTGTTTTGCACAATTCAGCTGCTCTACAAGGAAGATTCATTTTATCATCCCTTCAGAGAAAAAAAACACTGCAGATGATTCACTGTTATTCCTTTTCCAAGGTTTTTGTCGATGTACTTCTGTAAGAACATTTGTAACGATATAGCTAAAGTTGAAAAACTTATCTTCTGCAAAAGGAAATTTCTTGGTCTTTCCAATGTGTGATTAAGACTCTGCTTATGCGTGTAATGTGCCACTGACAATCTCAACTGTTATGACAGCTTGTCTTGCCTAAACTTTGGCTGTCTGTGGGGACTTCTGAATTAATGAACATCACAGAAATTTCAGATTAATTGTCACCAAGGGAATTTTAATTGGCTGATGCGGATGCTCTGAGCAGCCTAACTCCAAAAGGCCAGCCTAATGATCCTTATTTAATTGGCTTGGAGCTTTTCTCTTATCCGAATTTCTCCAACGGCTTGTGTGGCTCTGTCTTCAACCCCACTTTCTGTCTTCTTCTGTGTTTTCGTTTTCAATAAGCTCCTCCGCTAAATCCTTGTTCTATTTTTCTTCACCTTCCTATGCAGCTGTTTCGAGAGATTCTGAGTGAACCCATGAAAGAAACTCGCGGGTTCTCCGTTCCCGCCATTTGCTAGTTGAAATTGAAGCGGCTGAAGGAAGTTTAGATGGGGCGTTGTTAAAGGGAAAGAGGATGGAGAAATCGTCGCAGAGGGAGAACATCCTTTTGGGTTATTCGCTTCAGAGATCATTCACGAATCATTCTTCATCGCCGAGAGCTCCGAATCGGGACTCCGACGATGTTGATTTTCACGACGTGTTCGGTGGCCCTCCGAGAAGGCGGTCGTCGGCTCATGAAACGCGGTACAGCTTCTCGGAAACGGCGGGTTCTTTCGCATTGAAAGGCGGCGGCGATAACGCACCGCCGGGCCGGAGTAGTTCCTGGTCCTGTTTGAATGAGATACCGGTGTTCGGAGAAGACAGTCCTCACGGGCGAAGATTTTCGAGCAATGATTTTTACGATGATATCTTTAAGGGCGATGAATCCGCGACTCCTCCTCGCCGGCATGAACTTGACATTTTCTCTTCGATTCCTGGTTCGAGGGTCTCAAGTCCTGCTAGGCAACTTCCGCCGCGGGCAGAGCCATTCGGAAGTTCTTCCCTCCCAGCAGAATTAAGGTTCTTCTTCCTTTAGCATCCATTTCTTGATTTGGAAATGGGTTTCACCCCAGAATTTTATTGGCGGATGATTTTCTTAGCTTTGATGAATGCTTCTTTCATGTGCATTGGGTATTTGTTAATATCTTGCTTCTGGTTCTTCTGGTTTGTGCCAGCCTACCATCTAGCTTGGCTAAAGGGACTGATCTGCCAGCGTTGGGATCGAACAATTCGAGCCCCTTAAGAAACAAGGTTGTTGTGTCAAATGGAAGCCATACAAATGCTTCTAGGTTCACTCTGTCTAGATTTTCTTCCAGCACTTCGAGCCATCGTTTCGAGGATCTTAAAAGTGATCACAATTTGTTGGATCGGCCTGGCATTCTCTCATCTGAATTCCAACCTCTTAGCAGCGCCGAGATGCCATCCTTCAGAAAGTCCGATAATGCGTCGAATAGGAACAGTTCAACGAAGGGAGAAGATAGTGTAGAAGATTCAAATGGTGGTGGTCAGTTTCAATTCCATTTCTCAATTTACAAATGGGCAAGCAAAGGGGTGCCTCTAATGATGCCACTGAGAGGAGGGAACGGATCGAGTTTAAGAGAGAAGACTTTGCTTAGGAGAAGCTCAAGCTCGACGAATAGAGTCGTGAAGGAGATGAATGAAAAGCCTGATCGAAGTTTCGAGGAAAAACTTTCATCTGCACCTTCAGCTAACTTGAGCAGACAAAGTTCTCGTAAGGATGTCGACGCTGATAACATCACTCAGCAAGCAAAGCTCAAGAAAGTTTCAAGTGAAAAAGCAGAGAAAAAGATGAGTTCGACAACAAATGAAGATCGAAACCATGTGGCTAAATCTCTAAGTTCCTTCCTTCTCTACAGCGATGGTGAACAAAGTACGTCCTGCCACGAGTTTTGTTTATTTCATGCTTGTATTATCTGGTTCTCACAACTAGTTTTGTTTC